GATGTTTTGAAAATGTGGCACAGTTCAAATATTTGGGAATGACAGTAACAAATCAAAACTTGAGTCACGAAAAAATTAAGAGGAGACTGAATTCAGGTAATGCTTGCTACCATTCAGTCCAGATCCTTTTGTCTTCTTGTCTGCTGTCTAAAATGGTAAGAATTAGACTATACATAACTATAATTTTGCCTGTGATTCTGAATGGGTGTGGAACCTGGTCTCTGACATTAAGTGTGGAACACAGACTGATGGTGTTTGAGAACAGGGTGTTGAGGGAATATTTGGACTGAAGACGGATGAAGTGACAGGAGGTTGGAGAAAACTGCATAATGAGGAGCTTCATAACTTGTACTCTTCTCCAAGTATAAGTAGAATGATCAAGTCAAGGAGGATGAGGAGGGCAGGGCACGTGGCACGTAGCACGAATGGGGTAGAATAGAAATGCATATAGGATATTGGTGGGAAAGCCAGAAGGAAAGAACCACTAGGACGACCAAGACGTAGTTGGGTGGATAATATTAAAATTGATCTTACAGAGATAGGATGGGGTGTTATGGACTGGATTGATCTGGCTCAGGATAGGGACCATTGGAAGGCTCTTTTTAACACAGTGATGAATCTTTGAGTTTCGTAAAATATTGGGAAATTATTGAGTAGATGTAGAACTGAGTGCTTCTCAAGAAGGGCTCAGCTCCATGAAGTTAGTTTTAGTCTTATTACAAATAAACAAATGTTTTATTCCTAAACCAAGTTGGAACTCCTCTGAAGTAGATCCATTACCTGAACATATTTGCAGCAAATAGTATTTTCTTGACTTTTCTTATGAAGTTGCACCATATTTTCTGTGTAGCATAGTATTCACATTCATTTTAATGCCCATGAACCACACTTACTTGAAGTTGTTCATTATATTTCTGAGGCTCTTTAACATGATACCTTGAGAGCAGTCCTGTGATGTCAGTCAGATAAGCATTCAGTTAGTTTCAGGGTTAGTTTTCAAAAAAGTCCTTAAATTTATTTGGGACAGCCTTGTTTGCAAGGAATCAAATTTGTGCCTTGATACTTGCATTGGTTATTATGGAAAGTAAAAGTACCATTGATGACATCTTTGGTACATGAGCTATTAAATGCCTGCCACACATGCTGTCAACCATGCCTTTTGTCATGTTTTAGACCAAAATTATATTCAGTTTGTAAAATCTGAGGTTTTCACAGCAGTGACTATGAAGAATGCATCTTCTGGGATGTGGCACCATGTAGATCTTGTGTGAACTGACGTTTCAGAGGAACGTATCACCCCCATCTTCAGGGTAGAAAAATTCACAGACAAGGAACCAGTATGAGAAGGTGGCCGCAGACACTTGCTCACACTGGTTCCTAGCTCACGGATTTTTCTACCCTGAAGGTGGGGGTGATACCTTCCTCCAACATGTTGGCTCACACAAGATCTACGCAGCACCACATCCCAGAAGATGGCATTCTTTATATTCAGTTTCTTTGTGTCTTCTTTAACCTAGAGGGGGCACGCGGTAGCGTAGTTGGTTGAGGCAGTATGCTACAAGCCTTCCCCCCTGAACAGAAGTTCAGTTCATTGAGTGGAAATCACTACATACTTTGTGCTCCTCAGCAAACAACTGAGAAATTATTATGAATACTTAAAAATTTATATGGTGCCCGGGTTTGATCCTGGGTCTGGTGAAGTGGGATTTGTGGTGGACAAAGTGGTGCTGGGTCAGCTTTTCTCCGAGTACTTCGGTTTCCCCTGCCAGTCTTCATTCCACCAAATTCTCCATCATCATAATCACCCAGGGCAGGTACAATAGGCCAATCAGTGGCTGCCATGCTGGATGGACCCAGTTGGACTCCACCCCCCACTAAGCAAATTAAATTAAATTAATTAGAAATCCATGTGGCCAGGCAAGAAATGTACCTGTAGGCATACAGTTAGTATTACAAGGCAGAAGGCATCAGAACTTTATACCTGCTTCTAAGGGTGATTAATTTCAACAATTAATTCCTAAGATATAAAGTAGCAATGTCATCATCATCCTAATTTAATGAAATTATTGCCAAGGACATCTTTATAGCACTAAGGCTTTTATTCAGGGTATAATTCACTATTTTTATAAATAGGTGCCGTAATAGATTTGTCCCACTGATGAGACAATCCTTCCTTATTCCAAAGAGGCTGAATAAGTTTATGGACTTCAGAATACAATGTTTCACTGCTTTTTGGATCAATTTTGACAGAATTTTGTCTATACCTGGCAATTTATAACTTCAAAATTTCAGTATCATTCTTGACCTCAAAAGAACCACACTCAGATACTAATGGCTCAGCTGTATGTATTTCAGTCTGCCTAATAATTATAACCCCATGTACTGTACATTCAATAGCTCACAGACATAATTCTTCCACTTGTTCAGAATACTGTGGGAACCTACAGGCAAATCACCATTATCATGTTATATCCACTTATTCCTAGGTTTGTAATCCTTCTTAAATTTATCTATACCTCTATACAAGACTTTAATATTCTTGTTCTGTATGTTTCAAGCTCTCTTTCAGATGTTCACTTAATAGGTGCATACGTTTTTATGAAATCCTGTACTGAGGAGTTTTATTACAATCTGTCAACATTCTAGTTTTGGCAAAAATCATATAAAAATAACTGACCCTTTACATGCATATGTGTACCTCAAGCATAACTCATTAAATAATTAATAGAGTGAAAATGTATTGAACAGAAATGCAACAAATTTCAGTAAATTTCATTACTAAATTCTGCAGAAGATTTGTGAGGAAAAGTTTATTTTGTTCTGTATTAGTCCACAGTAATTCCTATTTGAAATGAATGTCATATCAAACTTTTCAGATTTCTTAGGAATGACATATACAAAACATTAGTGTATAACATAAAATACAGATTTTAAATACAAGGTCCAGCAATGAAGTTACTGGACTGGTGTGAAAAAGAAACAAAAATACAAGGAAATCAAAAATTGTTTTTGATTTGTTTTTCTTTTGAGTACAAGCAACACAGCACGCATATAAACTTACCAGTAATAACAAGAACACATCACCAAGAGGGATAGACGACAATATCCACTACCAAGGAAGATAAAACATGATCCATATTGGTTCATGAACAAATTTCTTAACTTAAAAATAAGTTTTTATACACATTCATAACATTTTAACGTAAAGGAAGGCTGCTGTGGTGAAACAAATTGAATTTTATATACAGTGCAGAGGAAAATTACATTTTTTTTAAATATCCTCTATGGAAGTGATTGCAACTACGTCATTTCTAAGTAATATACTTCAAGAATGTTCTTATTATAAAAGTTTACATCAAACATCTATTTCAACAATGAAAATTAAGAACTACATATACTGAGCATCATAAATGTTTTAAGTGTATATAGTATTATAAAAACATTTACGTATTGGTGGGTTCCTGATCATAGTGGTATACCTCCGATGATGATTCATTAAGAATAAAAAAATGTTAGGTAACTAAATGCTGAAGTGGTGAAGGCATTATATGTCACATTGGACTGAAATAAACTTAATTGCAAAAAAAAAAAAAAAGTTTTATTTCTATTCAAATTAATCTCCACCTACTTGAATACATTTGTTGAAACGTTTAAAGAGTTCCTGATAACAGTCAGCTAAAGCTTTCAAAAGAACAGTGTTCAGTTCAGCCATCATGTTTTTCTTAATATCTTCAACATTGTGAAACCTTTCTTTGAGGGCAGATTTCACATTAGAAAAGAGAAGCATGCAATGAAGAAAATTGGGATTGTCTAGACAAATCTGGATGAAGTCTTGTATGATCTGAGTAACCATTGCATCAGCCCATCCATGAGTCTGTGTTGGATGAACTTAGCACAAACCTTCCTCTCCATAAATCTTGGTGGAGGATTTACCAGATTGTCTCCTTATTGATATTTAATTCATCTGATATTATTCTGAGAGCCCATCAGTGATCTCATATCACCATTTTGTGGACATTTTCAATTATGTGTGTATTTTTTAGAGGCTGAAAGACACCAGCTTCTTGGATCATCCAGAAGATCCTCACACCTGTCTTTAAATCATTTAAACCATTCAAATACACTGCTATGACTTCAGGATTCATCACCACAGACAGTTTGCAACATTTCATAAGCTTCTGTTGGCGTTTTACTCAGTTTGAAACAAAATCTGGTACCCACTCATTGCTTCATGGTTAAAGAAGTGACAGCAGTTAAAAGCACAGCTAACCCACTGAGCTGCTACTCATGAACTGTCAGTGATTTGACTTTTTGATTCTTGCCGATTGTTGGTAAGAGGCAGAACTAAATTAATTTACAGCAGTCCATTTCGGCACCACCTAATGTAAATGCTGTGGCCCCAGTTCAGAAACTTATCTGCCACACCTCATACATCTAAATAAAGACCTTAAAGTGTGAGATCTTGAAATGGGTTTTTTGATGCATAATTTATGAGTCCGTGCTAGTAATCGTATTGTAGATTAGCTGTAGCTGTCACCACATTTTTATCTGCAAAAATTGAACATCAGAACCATGAAGAATGTATTTATAGAATGTGTGCCCCACAGATGGAGTACACCTGTCAACTCATGTTTATACTAATTCACACACAAAACTTAAAAGAATGTGTTCCAGATTTGTGTGTATAGCCTTCGTCACGTACTTTATTATCATTTATAATATTTTTAAGTTAATTCATTATTATAGCTGCCCATAAGATCTTCCAAGTTATGTGTTTTTGGTATGACAATACTATATTTAAATCAGAGGCAGTTCATTAGCCAATAAACACAACACATATTACATAATAATTTAAATAAATGTATTTATATTGTCACTTTAAAGAACTTTCATCATTTATTAATTCTAATTTGAGATACTGACTGATATATCAGAATGTACATCAGACAAGGCCAGCCTTTGTGGATACCTCTGTCAAAGTCCATGTATTTACTTTCCAGTCTCAGCTGATCCAGAAGTATGGTTACCCAGTAGAGAAGCATACTGTGCAAACAGAGGATGGTTATCAACTAACACACTTCCGTATTCCCCATGGACGATCTGGTCCTACTGCAAGAGTGAGACGTCCTGTCATCCTCCAACATGGAATACTTAGTGCCTCTGATCTCTGGATCCTTATGGGACAAGAGCAATCCCTAGGTAACATGAGAATCTTACTTACTTCTCATTGGCTGTTTTGATGGGGTAGTAGCAGAATCCATAATTCACCACTACTAATATGTAGTTGGTTGAGGCGCTATGCTACAAGCCGGAAGGTTGTAGATTCAAGTCCCGATGAGGTCATTGGATTTTTTCGATTGATATAATCTTTCCGGCCGCACTATGGCAGCTGGACTCAGCCTCTTAACAGAAATTAATACCAGGAGTATTCTTGGAATATTCTTAGGGGTAAAGGGCGGCCAGCACATAGGGCTGACAACCTTGCTGCCATCTGTGAGCCGACTGTCTAGAAAATGTGGGAACCTCAACATCTCACAACTCTGTGGACCTCCACAGCCTGTTACAGGGATACCTTTACTTTTACTTTACTTCTTTACTAATACCAAACCCCACCAATATGTATGATCCTGTTCTAGACCTATCTCTCTTCCTAGCACCCCCATGCAACTCAGTGTTATTGGCAGGCAACAACATAGCCACCATAGTAAATACAAAAAAAGGATACACAATGCCCATCCGGTCCTCTGCAGCACATTCTTATAAACATCTTATTCTATTACAGCTGTCTCCTCACGATTCTTAGTATATATCTTAACTTAAATCTGATAGTATTTTATTATTATTTTATACATTTGCTTCTTTTTCTTTTCTTACATATCTCTTTTTAAATAAATATAGGAATGTTGTTTATGAAGTAACAGACACCTTGCACAAATCTTTTTTCTTCTGGTCTTAAGAGTTCTGTAACTGACTTTGGGTATTGTTTTTGTTATTCTCAGACAGAATGTCCATCACTGTTGCCTGTTGGTCCTCCTCCTGTTTACAATCCCAGAAGACATGCTCCTCCTTTTGCAGCCCATCATCACATTCACATTCGGCCATGGACACAATATTTAGGCTTGCTTTAAGACTGGTGTGGCCTGCTGTCATACGGTTTATTGATATGAAGGCACAACAGTACATTTTTATCTTGCAGAACCATGATGATGAGCCATTCCTGTAGTACTTTTTAAAGTAGCTTCTTCCTCTGTCCCGTTCTTCTTTGCCTTTCTTTTCCCACTAGGTTTTAAGATCTGTCACTGGCAATTATAATTGGCTATCTGTGCCTTCCTTGATTGCTTGCTTTGCTTCCAGGTCGGCTCTCTCATTAACTTCAACTCCACAGTGCCCCGGGATCCAGTAAAATTGGATTTTTTTTTCCTCATGATTCCAGTCTCTCTATTTTATCTTCAGGCATCTGAGTAATGTGCGATATGTTGCTCATTGTAGAGGAGTTACAGATATCTTTTAACACACATGCCAAGTCCAAGAAAATCATGAAATTTTGCTCCAAGTCTATTTTTTCAATTCACCAATTGCAAGTGCTTCCACTGTGAATGTGGATGCTATCTTAGCTATCCTGAATTTCCTACTACGATCATCTTTTATATCTGTCGACATGAATCCTACAAATGGTTTTTCATCCATTTTTGAGCCATTGCATTATTCATCATATTAAAGTATTTGCCACCTTATTCTCTCATAAATCATACTGATAGTGTGGTCTGCTTCTCAAATAACATGTGTAATGTAATGAATATTGAAAGTGTGTTAAGTATTCATGTCCCAATGTGCAGCATTCTAGTAGAATAAATAGTGCAGGATATCCCAACTCTTCCTGCCCATAACACAGCCCTGTAAGAGTAGAACACATTGTCTTACAACCTAGAAATAATTCATCAGTAAATATTACAAATGTGGTGCAGGTGCTACATTATGGGGTTACATTTAATACATGTAATGCAGGCATTGGCTAAACTTAATTTCTTTGTTGGATTAAGCAACATGTAATAAAGTCATTACATCATGAATTAAAACAGACATACTGTGCTGAAGCCCTGGGAAAGCTGAAGGATTTCATGCCTCTCTGCCTATTGGATGACAAGCAGCCAGGGTTAGAGCATACTTTCTTTCTTTCCATTTATACTACAAGAAACAATACAAAAATGATAACACAATCAGAATGCACTCAGAGTTTCTTCAGAGTCTACAGACCTTCTTTGGGTAGAACCAAAATATGCTTAATATGTCAATGTCGTAAAGAGAATTTTTTTATTATATATATCTGTGTGTGCGCGCGTGTGCAGCTTTTCCCCCCCATTTTTTTCACTAATTTCATTCAATGTAATAGGCATACCATTCCTATACAGAAATAACATGGAGATGTAATTTCGTGTGTAAATGTCGACTCCTGTTTCACAACAACATCAAATAAAAATAAAAATCCATACCTACAAATTAATGGAAAAAACACACCACTGTAACTGCAACAAAATGCGCACATGTCAACAGCATCTGCCATCAATGAAACATTAAATCAGGCTTCACTGGGGCTCTGTGATTGGTTCAGACAGATGTGATTTGATACAATACCTTCGGTGCTCTGTGATTGTTTCCACACTCTCCAGTTACCAGCAGGCAAATAGAAATGACAGTAGCTGCGCGTGTTTCCGAAAATGCTATAATGTATACTCTCATATTTAAGTTAAGATATGTGTTAAGAATTGTGGGGAGAATGCTGTAAAGAGCAAGGTATATATATGAATGTGCTACAGAGGGCCGGATGGGCATTGCCTTTTATATATTTACAGTTATTTTTCACAATAACAAAAATAATCTGCTATAACAGTTGGATCCCCCTGCTTCCTAGTAACCTCTCTGCCTAACATCCATCTACATATCATCTTCCCATCTCTTCCTCAGTCTTACATGTGGATGTTTTCCAATTCCATCTACCTCCCATCCAAACAACCTATCTCTCTATGATCCAACTTAAGATTATCCTCCCATCCCTTCTTCCCTTCCCAAGTAGACGTTTCCCAAGAGTTTTATCCCAAAAGTTCCGTAAACATTGCCTTTTGCATCCTAATGATGACATTCTCAGTCTGTCTGAACTTTTTGAAAATGTTATGCTAAATTGTAGTATTTTATATTTTAAACTTTACAGAGTTGTAGATAGTAAATAAGAAGGTACATGATTCTGAATTGAATACAAGAAGCATTCTGCAAATTGAGTATTTTACCAGTTTATCATTAATATAATTTTGATGGGGTGGTGTTGTTCCCATGTATTTTTACTTTCCAGCATTTTCACTTAATTTATTAATTACCCCATATAATATTATTTTCTCCTGCATTATGGTGATAAGATATGAACTTATATAATCCCTCTGGATTAATTTTAGATTAACCTCCAAACCAGTATCTAACAGAGTTTTGTTTTCTGTTTATAAACATTCATCATCATCCTCATCATCATGGAGCAGAAGTTGATGAGCTGCTTTCAGTTCCGTTCTCTTTTTGTGTTCTTGAATTTTCTTACCATCATATTCCAAAGCACAGCTGTAAATCAGTGATGATAAACATTCTCCTTGTTTCACTTCATTCTGAATAAATATATTAGATGTGTATACATATAACTAATTCCATAGAGCTGATTCCTTCTTCAGAAGCCACCAGTCACTCAGCTACTCAAGAATTTTCCAATATTTTACCACCCAATCCTATCTCTCTAAGTTCCATCTTAATATTATCCTTCCACCTACATCTAAGTCTTCTTATAGCACTCTCTTTCCTACTGGCTTTCCCAGCAATATCTTAGATGAATTTCTCTTCTTCCCCTTTGTGCTACATACCCTGCACATCTCATCCTCCTTGACTTGATCATTCTAATTATGCTTGACGAATGGGACATGTGTGGTAGAAGTTACGAAGCTCCTCATTATGTAGTTTTCTCCAAGCACCTGTCACTTCATCTATCTTTGGTCCAAATATTCTCCTCGGCGCCCTGTTCCCAAATGTCCCCAGTCTATGTTCCTCCTTTAATGTCAGAGACCAAGTTTCACACCCATACAGAATCACAGGCAAATTTATAGTTTTACATATATTAATTTGTATGTTTTTAGACAGCAGACCAACAACTCATGTCCCTTCTCACAATCATTGCATAGCAATGGTACTACACATACTACTACTACTACTACTACTACACACACACACACACACACACACATATATATGTATGTATATATAAAATTTTTCTCTAATATGTAATGAAGACTACACTGGTGTATAAGTATGCCACAGAGTATGAATGAGCTAAGCACCAAGATAGTAGGCAAGCTCTATATTTCAAGAACTATTTATTTAGCCCTATGCTGAGTTCCTTGTTGTTTTGAATTGCATTACAGCAGAATCTTAACACAGAGGTTTCGAAAGAGTAGTCCAAAATTTGGAAATTCATAACACCCTCCAGTCAGACAGCCTAGTGTGTTGATAGGTGGTAATGAATCATTAATTTTTGAGGTAATTGTTGCTGGAGTATATAAACATTCCAGAACAAGAATCCAAAGAAATCCACACAGAAAAGACTTTACTTAACTTGCTGCCTTCTAATGTTATTTCCATTCATATGTTGATATTGTGACATGCTACCTAAAAGACGGAAAATCGGAATCAGAGTGGGGATCCATTGATAGACAAAGGCTCGGTAGTCACGTTTCTGCTACAATAAGAGCAGTTAATGCATCGTTGTCTAGGTGACAATTGTAAACACGTTCATGCAACTATGCGTACATAGGCAGACCATTATCACGGAAATGAAAACCAGAACTGTTCAAGGAGGTGTCTTGCTACCCCAGCCACCTAGCTTGTATAAATTGAGGCCAGTTCAGAAACCAGAAGCCAGAAGCAAGAAGTGAGGAGTCAGACACAGAAGGCAGAAGTGAAGTCAGAAGCAAACTAGCCTGCTTTCGAGAGGCAGACATTGTTCAGTCAAGCAGACGTTGAAGATTTTCTTTCTTGTCTTATAGTTAAAGTGATTTGAGTGTGTTATAATTATCTGTAGTTCTGCCTTGTGAAACTGTCCAATAACTCAATTCATCTAATCTGAAACCCATTAATTTCTTGATGTGTTACCTGGATATGTGACAGTATGTTGAAATCTGACGTATTAGGAATTAATACACAACACTGAACTTGTTTGAGGAGATATCATATTACTAAGTGCAATTTAAATTTAATTTATACTCTTTTATCAAGATAGAATCTCCACAAATTTGAAAATAATTATCACTTGAAGCCACTACTTCCATTAAATAACATCATCACTCTTGGTGTTCTGTGGATTATGCATGGTTCTTCAGGAAGCAGCTAACTTTCTGATTACCAACAATATTCTCAGGATTCATTCTGGCAGATGCTGGCTATGATGTCTGGTTGACAAATATCCGAGGTAACAGACACTCACGGAAACATGTGACCTTACTGCCTCGCAATGCCAAATTTTGGAATTTCAGGTAGGTTTAATTAATTTCTTTATCAGTGGAATATTTACAGTTACAAGCTGTAGTATTACATGGATATTTGTATTTTCAATTAGAAAATACCTGAGAAGTGACAAACAGCATTTGGCTTCAGTGGATTATGATATAACAGTACACTCATTCTGTTCCCACTAAGTTCAAAATACGTCAGCTGTGATATAATGTACTTTAGGCTCATGGAGTCTCAGTAAATTGCACTTTGAGGCACTGTACAATAAACATTAATTTTAAAAACATACATTATGAAAACAGATGTTTTAAGAAAGAAAATCTGTAAGTACATGTTATAGCTGGAATAGCTATGGACATTAACCGCTTGAAATACATGAAATCCACCCAAAATAGAACTGTCTGAGGAGATGGAAGTCAAATGGCCACCAGTGTATACCATTGGGTTAAAGTTTGAAGCTTATTGTCTCAGTTACTTGAGCCGTAATTTAGAAACACACCATAGGTACAATTGTTATGCATCTTTTATATCCCCACTGCTTCCTGCACCGTGAGATTTTCATAGAATATTTCGCAAATTTTAAACCTTTCAAGTGAAAATTTTTAGTACTCCTGATATCAAGTAAGGACCATGGAGGTTAGGACTGCTAGCAGATTTGGCAACCCTATAGCCTAATTAGATTACAAATACAGTGTACCCAGATTACAACGTATGCTGGAAATGCATTCTGTTGTGAGGAGAATGTTCAGGCACAACACTGAGTTCTTTGAATTTCTCTTCAGTTTCACCCTACCTGTTACCACAAAGTAAGTTCATGTGAAGAATGCCGTCTTCTGGAATGAGGCGCTGTGTAGATCCCAGAAGATGGCATTCTTCGTAGTCACCGATGTTAAAACCTCAAATCTTACATAAGCTCATGTGTTATGCAAACTCAGTCATATATTCTGAGCCCCATGTCACTTCAATTCTACTACTGTACTCGGCCTGTGCAGTGCTCAGTCAAAATACCAGTCACCAGTTTCATAATGGAACCAGTGTTCTTGCAGAATAGCTACATGAAAAATTGTTCTGCAGCAATAGTAAGGAGAAGATTTTGGTTTAAATTTCAGGATGTCATAGTTCCACATCTAGAAGAACTACTGTAGTAGTACAGACAGGACCATTACTGGACAAAAGAAAGGCCTTGAACACCAAGTGCTCACGGAAAAGTAACTTGATCAAATCTATGCTAGGCATTGACATTTTCCACAAAAATCCCACAGATGCTTCCACTGGAGACCGTGGTTTCAAGTATATTTTATCCCTCTGTACCCTGGATATAGATGGAGGAGAAAGGTACTGTAATAAATGAACTGTTAATTATGTTACAGCTGGCATGAAATGGGATACTATGATATTCCAGCTACAGTTGACCATATCATGGCTACCACTGGAGAGAAAGTATACTATATTGGTCACTCAATGGGCACCACCATGCTGTTTGTGATGACTTCTAACCGACCTGAATACAATCAGAAGATAAGGCTAGCAATTTCTCTTGCACCTGTAGCTTTCCTCTGGAAACCAAGCCATCCACTTTTAAAAGCCATCATTCCAGCCAGCAAGCAGATAACAGTATGATCCTAAGCCTCTGCATATTTATGTTTGTGTTACTGCATGCATATTAGTGTAAGGATCTGTGTTTACATACACGTATTTTAGGGAAAAAATAATTTAAAGTCATTCCTAATTCAGTTCTAAACCACAGAACTTCACACAGCATCATCAGATACTGAATCAGTCACTATACAAGATTTGTAACAAAGTAGGGATGGAAAAGATTTCTTATTAATAAAATGTCCTCTTCTGTTCTAAGTGAACATTTCTGTGTCAAAACCTTGGAATGACCCTTGGTCTCAGAGATTAACTTGAAGGAGACTTTCATTTCACCAGGTGATATCCTTGATGACCTAGGGGTAAGACAAACTCAGATTCAATCCCAAGCCAAGACAAAAAAAAAATTTCACTCAGACTAAAGTAATTAAGTCTTGGATGTGAAATTACATGAACAAGTATGCAGTACCTATGATAGCTTTGAACAGGCAATCAAAATTGCAGCCTTCAGATGTAACTGAATACTTATGTTATTTTTTATAGAATGCATTGGATAAAGCAGGAATATGGGAGTTATTTCCATACAATAGGAAATTTGCAGATCTGGCAGGAACACTCTGTCATGATGGAACTCCAACACAACACCTTTGTGTTCTTGCCTATTTCTTGGCCTATGGAGATGACAGTGAGAGGCTGAATAAGGTACGTGTATATGTTCACTTATATTTTAGATTTGATTGATAGACAACCAGGCCAAGAACTGGTATTTAAACTGTGTACAAGGTAAGATCAGTTGTGAATTTAGATGAGGAAGCCAAGAACCCTTTCATGGATAAGAGCACAAAGCTACTAAAGCTACTAAATACAGTATGCACTAAAATATGCAGTACTGAAACTCTTGCATCTCAAACGTGCATGTGTGTTTGTCGACGGGGCATAGCTCCAGCCACACATGTTCCCAATAGTGAGAAGGAAGTTGTGTTGTGCAGTTGTTGGAAACTGGTCTCTCGATGGAGGAAAAAGTATTCATAGTTGAGTATTATTTCCACCCATATGGAAGTGGCCGTGAAGGGGGACTGAGTTTCAAAAACGTGACAGAACAATTACAAGAGAGATATACTAAGATGACACCAAGTAAAACCGTTATGCTGTCTATTGTTACGAAATTTTGCCATTCTAGTAGTGTACTGTGTCAACGGATGGGGATGTCTGGTTGACCAGTAACTGTTTCGACAAAAGAGAATCATGCATGTGTTCTTCAGCAGCTGCTGCATTTGCCCTGACGAATTGCCTGAAACTGAACGTCAGTGATACGCCGTTCGCTGATTGTTTAAGGACATAGGTGGATTTCCATACTGGATGCAGGTTGGACCACGCTTAACAGTCAGATATGCGAACCAGGATGGTGTATTATGGAACATTTTTGGCCATGGTGCATGATGATCCAGATTTCTTGAGGAATGTGTAGTTCTCTGACAAAAGTCACATTCACTTGGACGGCTACATCAATCGCCAGACAACTAGCTTCCTTCGTTTTGAGCGGCCAGATGTTATTGTCCAGAAACCGCTACATAGTACACATGTGATGATATAGTGTGCTGTCTCAGCACATGGTGTATTAGGCCCCTATTTCATTGAGGATGAGGAAGGCAATGCTCTTACCATCACCCAAGAATGCTACAAGGACATGGTGATTGGACTATCTCTTCACGATTTGAGAAGGTTCTGTCATGCAAGGGACCTTCACATGAATAGACAGTGGTATCAGCTGTACGGGGCAACCAGCCATACCGCTCGAGAATCTCTAGCCATGCTGCAGGAAAACTTTCCAGAATGAATCATTTCACATGGTACTGACTTCCCATACCCGTCCCATTCCCCCGATCTTACACCACCTGATGCCTACTTGTGGGGAATGTTAAAGGAGAGTGTGTTCAACTGTGAAGATCTGCCAAGAACTGTACCCCCAATCTTACACCACCTGATGCCTACTTATGGGGAATGTTAAAGGAGAGTGTGTTCAACTGTGAAGATCTGCCAAGAACTGTACCCCCAATCTTACACCACCTGATGCCTACTTATGGGGAATGTTAAAGGAGAGTGTGTTCAACTGTGAAGATCTGCCAAGAACTGTACCCCCAATCTTACACCACCTGATGCCTACTTATGGGGAATGTTAAAGGAGAGTGTGTTCAACTGTGAAGATCTGCCAAGAACTGTACCCCCAATCTTACACCACCTGATGCCTACTTATGGGGAATGTTAAAGGAGAGTGTGTTCAACTGTGAATATCTGCCAAGAACTGTGCCTGCATTATGTGAGCAAATCATCTCCTTTTGCAGGAGTCTGCAGCAACCTTGGTTCTGGGATATGATTGAGAATTTGTGTGAATGATATGAGCACTGTCTACAGCGAGGCGGTGCACACTTCAAAAACTTACATTACGCATACCATGGTAAATCAACATGCTAATAGTGTGTATGTTTGTCTTTTCATTTAAGTACTGTATTTTTTGGCACATACTGTGCATCTTATCATAGCATTAAATTTTAATAAAATGTAATGGCAGATTGAAGGAAGAATAGGAGTGTTACTGTCAGTAGTAGGCTTGTGCTGAGAAAAAAAATACAGAATTTTAGTTCCTCTTTCCTGATTTGTTATGGGAAGGGGGACTCTGAAATGGGAACCAGGCAAAGAGCCTGGTACCATTAAATGGGATTCTGAGTGGGACTTAGAGCCAGTCTGAACCTTACAAAGAAGAAAATATTTGCTCCTGCTGAAAATTGAACCTTGATCCCATGGTCTTCAAGCCTGTGCCATAGTCACTATTTCAACTAAATTATCCTGGCTCCCTCTAAAGAAAGCTGGACTTTTAGTTGCTTAAGAAGTGTAATTATCACAAACAGATGAGTGTAAGAAGAAATTAGAGAAAAAATTAAAATTCAATAACATTTTGCCACATGGCTAGGGATATGCTTTGGAAGGAAACAGGAAATTTCAGAGACAGGAAAAGCATGGTTATTTAAAATATGCTACATGCTCATTTTTGTGGGGCACACAGTAGCTGATGCTGGTTGAGGCACTATGCTACAAGCCAAAAGTCACTGGTTCAGGTACCAGTGAGGTCATTCGAGTTTTCAGTTGACCTATCCTTCGAACCACATTATGGCCCAGGGGTTGACTCAGCCTCTAACAGAAATGAGTACCAGGAATCTTCCTGGGGGTAAAATGTCTGGTGTGTAACGCTGACAACCTTACCACCATCTGTGAGCCAGTCATTTAGAACAGGGGGCTCCAAACTTTTCGAACCGCGGGCCACATTAGGTAATTCAGCACTTTCAGCGGCCCAGATAAAATGAGAAATTAATAACTCTAGGTATATGAGTTTTATTGAAAGCACAGAACTTCATAAACTAAATACAAAGTACGTGGGAATAAATTATCCTATATTAATGACAACAGACAGTAGCAGCAAATGCTCATATTTTCATTCCAAATTATAATAAAACAATTAATGTGAATGATGGAGCTCTTTTTGCATTCTTAAAATCTGATTAAATTGAGGTTAAAATTTTTAAACACTAATCACAACTAGTGACTTTAAATGTTCATCGGATAAATTTGCCCTGTATTTCGACTT